GTGCTTATGCACCAAACAGCAGTTCAGAGTATCCGGCCTTCTTGGAGTCGGTGGGAGGGGTCCTGGAAAGGGCGCCGCCTACCGACTCCATAGTTCTCCTGGGGGACTTCAACGCTCACGTGGGCGATGATGGAGAAATCTGGCGGGGGGTGATTGGGAGGAACGGCTTGCCCGATCTGAACCCGAATGGTGTTTCGTTATTGGACTTCTGTGCTTGCCTCGGTTTGGCCATAACGAACACTATGTTCGAACATAAGGTGGCTCATAAGTGTACCTGGTACCAGAACACCTTAGGCCGGAGATCAATGATCGACTTTGTAATCGTATCATTTGATTTGCGGCCATATGTCTTGGACACTCGGGTGAAGAGAGGAGCAGAACTGTCAACTGATCACCACCTGGTGGTGAGTTGGATCAGATGGCAGGGGAACCGGTTGGAAAGACCCGGCAAACCCAAACGTGTAGTGAGGGTGAACTGGGAACGTCTGGCGGAGGACCCTGTCCGGGAGGTCTTTAACTCCCACCTCCGGAAGAACTTCTCACACATCCCGAGGGAGGTTGGGGACACGGAATCCGAGTGGACCATGTTCAAAGCCTCTATTGTGGACGCGGCCGCTAGGAGCTGTGGCCGGAAGGTCATCGGTGCCTGTCGTGGCGGCAACCCGAGAACCCGGTGGTGGACTCCGGAGGTGAGGGAAGCCGTCAAGCTGAAGAAGGAGACCTTCAAGGCCTGGTTGGCCCAGGGGTCTCCTGAAGCAGCTGACAGGTACCGGCAGGCCAGAAGGGCTGCAGCTGCGGTGGTCGCGAATGCTAAAACTCGGGCATGGGAGGAGTTCGGGGAGGCCATGGAGAAGGACTTTCGGTTGGCCTCAAGGAGGTTCTGGCAAACCATCCGACGGCTCAGGAAGGGAAAGCAGGGCTTACCCCAGGCTGTTCTCAGCAGGGGGGAGGAACTGCTAACCCGGACGGAGGACATCGTCGGGCGGTGGAAAGAGCACTTTGAGGAACTCCTAAACCCGACCAACATGTCCTCTGCAGAGGAGGCAGCGCCTGAGGACCTAGGGGGAGGCTCACCCATATCCCTGGCAGAGGTCGCTGAGGTAGTTAAAAAGCTCCTTGGTGGCAAGGCGCCGGGGGTGGATGAGATCCGCCCTGAGATGCTGAAGGCGCTGGACATAGTTGGGCTGTCCTGGCTGACACACCTCTTCAATGTCGCATGGGGGTCGGGATCAGTGCCCATGGAATGGCAGACTGGGGTGGTGGTTCCCATCTTCAAAAAGGGGGACCGGAGAGTGTGCTCGAATTACCGGGGTATCACACTACTCAGCCTCCCGGGGAAGGCTTATGCCAGGGTGCTGGAAAGGAGGCTCCGACCGCTTGTCGAACCTCAGATTCAAGAGGAGCAGTGCGGATTCCGTCCCGGCCGTGGAACAGTGGACCAGCTCTTTACCCTCGCAAGACTACTGGAGGGGTTCTGGGAGTTTGCCCAACCAGTCTACATGTGCTTTGTGGACTTGGAGAAGGCTTTCGACCGGGTCCCTCGGGGGGTCTTGTGGGGGGTGCTGCGGGAGTATTGGGTGCCGGACCCGTTACAACGGGCGATCCGGTCTCTGTACGACTGCAGTAGGAGCTGTGTCCGCATTCTCGGCAATAAGTCAGACACGTTCCCGGTGGGTGTTGGCCTCCGCCAGGGCTGCCCTTTGTCACCGGTCCTGTTCGTGATTTTCATGGACAGGATATCTAGGCGCAGCCTGGGGGCGGAGAACGTCAGTCTCGGGGGTCTCGGGATCGCTTCTCTGCTATTTGCAGATGATGTGGTCCTGTTAGCCTCCTCGGATCGTGACCTCCAGCATTCACTGGGGCGGTTTGCAGCCGAGTGTGAAGCGGCGGGGATGAGAGTTAGCACCTCCAAATCTGAGGCCATGGTTCTCCGCCGGAAACCGGTGGATTGCTCCCTCCAGGTGGGGACGGAGTGCCTACCTCAAGCGAAGGAGTTCAAGTATCTCGGGGTCTTGTTCACGAGTGAGGGTAAGATGGAGCGGGAGATTGACAGACGGATCGGTGCGGCTGCAGCAGTAAAGCAGGCGCTGCACTGGACCGTCTTGGTGAAGAGGGAGCTGAGCCGGAAGGCAAAGCTCTCAATTTACCACTCGGTCTACGTTCCTACCCTCACCTATGGTCACGAACTCTGGGTCGTGACCGAAAGGACAAGGTCGCGGCTACAAGCGGCCGAAATGAGTTTCCTCCGTAGGGTGGCCGGGCTCAGCCTTAGAGATAGGGTAAGGAGCTCGGTCATCAGGAGGGAGCTTGGAGTAGAGCCGCAACTCCTTTGCGTCGAAAGGAGTCAGCTGAGGTGGTTCGGGCATCTAATTAGGATGCCTCCTGGACGCCTCCCACTGGAGGTTTTCCAGGCACGTCCAACTGGGAAGAGACCCCGGGGAAGACCCAGAACACGCTGGAGAGATTACATCTCCCAGCTGGCCTGGGAACGCCTCGGGATCCCCCAGAATGAGCTGGAACATGTTGCCGGTGAGAGGGAGGTCTGGGTCGGCCTGCTTGACCTGCTGCCACCGCGACCCGACCCCGGATAAGCGGTGGAAAATGGATGGAGAAATGCATTTACAGGTTATTGTAAACAAGTGCAAGTTGAGTGAACTACAATAAATAATTAGATATAAACTAATATGCCATCTGCTACACCTGCGTGGTAGCTGCAAACAATGAGCTGCTTTCTTTCTCACATTTAATATCACAGGTTGACCTGTTCAGGGGCTCAAAACATGGCTCTGTTTATCATGGAAATACAGTGAAGAAGAGCATCGGTACCAGTGAGCTGTGAAATTATATGCCATGCCCACAGTGGTCACAGTCCACTTCACTTTAACAACCACACGACCAGCGTAAGTAGAATCTGTTTTCAATGTAGCGCGGCAACAACATACTGTAGAGACGACATCAATGTAATGAATAGTTAAATCACGCAATGAGCTCAATGTACAGACGGGCAACATATGAATTACAGTTGAGTCTCTACAGCAGCATTAGTTCCGAAAATAACCTTGACCAAGTCACAAAATAACAATCTGATGCATTTTAGCTAAAAAACACGATATAGAAGATGGTATCACCCAGAATGTGGTCACTGTGGAAACATCACACACACGCGTGCACACACACACAAAACACTCAAAGTTCAAAATTGATTCAGGTAATCTATCTACTGCCGTGACACACTGAAGATTCATCACCGCGGTGTGTGATTAGTGCCTCCCCTCCTCTCCTCTCCACACACTTCTCCCCTTGCACTCCATCATCTTGCAGACTGAATAATTGCGTTTTGCCACTGTTGGAGTAATGCGTATCCCTCCGATTATCCAGATGTGGGTGGCACCGTAATCCATATGCCCTCGACACAGGTACAGATGGTTGTGTAATTGCGAGCGCACGGTGATCACCCTGCTTTGTGATCAGATTCACGGTCATTTCATGTGGGTGGTCACCATTTTATGTTTTTCAGAATCATTTCCCTATCAGATGCCACTGGCGTCTCATGTAGAGTGGACTCACATGTCTGCTGATGAGGATATCTACTCAGCTCCAGATCTGGCTCAGTGAGTGGTGACATATTGGCCCGGGACGCACTCCAATCCTATTTGTCTCTCCTCCGTTCGATGCTGGAGATAAAGTTTCCTCTGTGCCATGCGTGGAAGGAATTTCTCTCTCTGAAGTGACTGGTTACACCACCTGTATACTGTAAATATGTTGATGTATCAGTCAATGCTTAAGCTGTTGGTTGTATTTATATTATTATTTATTATATTATTTTTACACTATTATTACACTATGAAGGAATAGAAAATATATATAAAGAGGATGGATCCAAGAACACTTCCAGGTGCCATTAAACACTGATAGGACCTCGACTCCTCTCCACCACCATGTCTTCCTCATATGTCACAGGGATTTCCTCCATTCCACCCCACATTACAGAGATTTAAATACAGGTTAGGTGCCTACTCTAAACTGTCTCTAAGCCTTGAGTGGTACTGTTGACATGTCCAAGGTGACTACGGGCCTGCTGGCTGGGACAACCACAGCCAACCGTGGCCCTAAAAGGATTCAGTGAGTTGGGAAAATAGTCTGAACATTGTTACAGAGGCCTTCATAACCTGACAGTGATATGGCTTATTGTGCAAACATTTGGCATCAACATGGCAGAACATAAAGATCATAAAATAAAAATTAAACCCAGTGGAGGAAGGAGTAGTCAGCTCCTTCACAAAATGACACAAAGGTGAAACATGTCAAGTCGCCCCAAGTAGACATTGTTTTTGTGAGGAGTCACGAGACATAAACGTTCATAACTATTAACAAATGACTGTGTTTTTATATAACTAGTAATTATAGAGCTCTGTCACATAATTATTGTGGAGTCAAAAGGTCAATGTTTCCCTCTCAAATGTAGTGAAGTACAAGTAGAAGAAATACTAAGTACCTCAGAATTGTACTTGAGTAAATGCACATCATTACTTTCCACCACTGCTTTGGTATCACCCTGGCACATATATGTCATATATAGAAATAAAAGTGAAACCACCTCAGCAGCACAGTGTGGACTAAATAGTAGTAACTGTGCCCTCTATTGGTGTAAAAACGTAGCACGGCTGCACAAACTGCAGAATGAAACGCTGTTGTATTTATCCCTGTAGGACAACAGACGTTTCACACGCAGTCGGTGGACTGATATATTTGCTAAGTTTCTTCTTTAGCTGTATATATATATATATATATATATATATATATATATATGGTAAGGAAGGGGGGAGGTTTGGGGTGCACGAGGCCACAGCCGCAAGCTGGAGAGAGAAGCAGGAGTGATGGAGGGGCTGCAGTTGTCGTGGAAACGCCGTGAGTGGGTGGAGCGTTGGGGAAGTGGGACCAGTTTGTTTTGTTATTGAAGGTCACGTGGCGCGGTGAAGCTCCTCCCCCCTCCCGTCGTTACCACCGATTCAACCGTCTCGAAGCTGCTGCTCTCCGGTCAGTTACTACAAAATGGCTGCAGAGGCTCCGCCGCCAACGAAAACCTCCTGAACGCTTCATGGTAGGATTTATTCACCCCTCGCCTTTTTTTTTTTTTTTTTTTTTTTTTTGCACGACAGATTTGCACCTTCATCGCTTCTCTCGCTTTCGGAAATGTGCGTGATTTTGAAGTTAAAATATGGCAGCTGGAGAGGGAATGAAAATATGTTGAGCTCAGCCCACTTTGACATCAATGTTTTCTTTAGCTGCGAGTGCTCTTTAGCGCAGTTGTCGGGTCCTTGTGCATCGGTTACTGACCTTAGCACGGATTTCGTAGGTTTTTAACCCGGGACTAGTTGCACCTTATTAACCTGCACACTGGCCTGCAGTTGCTTGCGATTCAAGGGCACCCTGTGTTGTTGCTCGGTCGAGTTGCCGTATTTGTAGTCGCTCGGGCAGACATCGGTTGCCGTTGCACTGGTGTGTAGGAGTGGAGTTGACATGGAAATCGCTGCAGCTCATTCTCACACAACATGCTCTGCAGAGCGAGCTGGATCTGACATGCAATCGGCTGACAGGCAGTGAACGCATCAGCAAGCTGGGTTTACTTACTGTACACATGTCCACGTATGGCTCGCCTTTCCAGTCGTATTTACCAAAGAATATGTGTTTCCCATGCATCCTTTTTTTCCTCCACTTATTGAACAACAACAAAGGTTGGATCTGCTGCTTTTTAACATGCAGAAAATAGAAATGCTGAGACTAGAGAGCTGTTTTTAGCTGTGCCTTTTCATTGCCTTGTCATAACCTTGAGTGCTGTTTGCAGGACTGCTTCATATTTTAAAGACTGTGTGCGTATTGGAAATCAAACAAGCCAATCCACAGGTGTAAGCATTGAAGAGTCATGTCACACCTTTTGAGATATGTTGCATCTAAAGATCGCTTCCTGTGTATTCCCTTCACCATAGAGACGAACACATCACTGCCCGCCTCCTGCTGCAGCTCCTGCAGTGGCACACACACTCCTAAAGGAGAAAGCCAGTGTGTACAGAGACCGGGAATGCCAGCAGCACCCTGATGCATGTAGAGGTTCAGGCTGACGTAAGCTTTGAGGCCCGCTGGTTTTACTAATGTCTTTAGAGTCCTTCATTTGGGTCTGCGCCTGGCAAGGGATGAAGAGATGATGGCGGTTAAAGGGGGAAAGGGGGTGTGTGGGGGGGCTTTTTTCTTTCCCTGCCGGGTCAGGGGCCCCCAGTTAGCACCCAAGCCTCTGAAAGAGGCCGTGTGTATTCACAAAGAGGCGCCAAAGGGGGGCTTGATAACAAAAACAGGCCACTAAATACGGTGATTACTATAAGGCTTAAGGTCACGGCCTCACTTTCGGCTCAAAACTCGATGGCTGTTTGTTGTTGTTGTTTTTTTTTGTCCGAGGGGCGTTTTGCCAGGTTGTGTCAATTGGTTTTGGCGAGTTGTTTTGGTGTCAGTGATCGGATGCTCAGCTGGAGGCCTCCAGTGGAAATGATGAGCTTGCATTCTGAGTAAAGCAGTTTATTGCTGTCAAAGAAATGTTTGAGTTTATAGAAAAGTTTCTTTGAATGCTGGTCAGATAGTTGCTTTAATTCTAATTCTCTGTAATGGGGTGTCAGACACGTGGAAGTATTTTTTATGCTACTTTAAAGCGTTTTCCTAATCGTAGAACAGCTCAGCAGTTATGGGAGATCTCATTCAGGCTATTACACAGATTCTTGATTTCTTTTCAGTTCATGAAGACAAATGCGGAAACTGTGAGAAAGCTGAGTGAATTGGAGTTCAAAAAGACATTTGTTAGGGACGTCCTTTGATCTCCTGGACCAATAAATTGTCTCGTGGAAGAGTTCCCATTACTTCTGGAGCAGACGACTGACATTGGGACTGGGGGCGGTCCTTTTGGAGTGTGTCCATACAAGTTATTTTAGGGGCCCGTTCAGAGTGCCAGGATAGCAGCACAAGTTTCTCTTTTCCTTGTCGTTAGCTCAGGTCAAGAAAGCATTAACATGACCCCACTGAGAATAGCTTCAAGTACTTTAGAGAGTGCAATCCTCTTTGAAGAGCACAAGGACTTTGTTAGTGCGTACCAAGCCTTCACATGATTTCAAAGGTGTACAGGTGACTAATTTGGCCTTTTTGCTTTTTGTTTTGTTTTGGCGGTGCATTTGTGGTTGTATGCATTTGAAGCTTGTCTTGCCCTAAAGTGTGAGAGCCGAGCGAGCTGCACACATTGTGCCATAGCTGTGGCGGCGGCTGCTGCTGCTGTTGCTGCGGTTGCTAGCGAGCGTCCTCCCGAGGGCTCTTGTTTGGCTCGCAGCGAAGGCATTCCTGGCTCTGTGCCCAGCGACTGCCGTCTAGCACCCCTTCCCCCATCTCTCGCACATGCACACAGAGCAGCCCCAGCAATCGCATCCCCTCTCATCTTCATCGCTCTGATGTGGGCCCCAGCTCGGCATTTACACGTCCACAAGTCCACCTTGCACACACATCGACTCTCTCCCTCCTCTCTTGCTTCATTTTCTACAAATTTAACACTTGCTGATATTCGGCTGTCCTTGGTATCTCCCCAGTCAGACTGTGTGTGGTTTTTGTTTTCCACTTTGTCAGCAGAGTGAGTGTCTGTCTGGTTTTCAGAGGGACACTGAGCTCTAATCCTGTTGTTCTGACAGGAGGGTGTAATTCCACAACAGAGCTGAGCTCATTGACCTACCTCCTTCATATCCACACGAGCTGAGCTTCCCCGCTACAAATGGCTGCTCCTGATGTAGCTCGGCACACTAATACAAGTAGACCTATAATGAAGACGGCAGTGATTTTATTGATTTAAAAAAACAAACTTTATGTTATCAATATTATGCTTTTATCGACATTTAATTAAAGGGTTCCTTGGAATTGGTTTTTATTTTGAAAATCATCATAATTAATGTAGAAGGGGACTCTTTATCTTTTTAAATACTGGTTTAATTAAAATGACGTCTCATGCCTATTCACATAGAAGTGCCCTTATATTTCCAGAGATGCTGCAGCATCCTAAAGGGCAGGAGGGTACCATTACTGCATCTCACCATCAGCCAGCACATCTGTCCGATCCAGGCAGATGTTTGGAAATGACATGGCAGCTCTCATTGCTCTGGGACCCAGTGTTTCTTAAACCGAAATCATTTTGACGCTTTCCCCGGCCCTCGCGCTCCTCATCCGGGTCGGAGGCCGACAGCAGCTCACATTAACCGGAGCATCTCTCTTATCCTCTGATCCTACATGACACAAGCCCCTCTGATGCCTTTGAAAGGAGCAGCACCCGCTATATTTAGCACGGCAGCTGCACCAGCAAGGTTCCATATCCAGCCTCTTGAGGGTAAAAATAAGTGTTTATGATGCTGCAGATAAGGTGAATGGACGGAGGCCGTTTGTTTTTTGTGCCCGAAAGCATTCTCCCAACAACTCGATCTAACGCTCGCAATCTGAACTACAGTCCAGCGATAAAGAGGCTCTATTTATCACGCGGCCTCCTTTTTGAACCATCAGGCCTGGACTGCTGCAGGTTTGGCTGAAAATCATTGTTCAGCTCCTGTAAACATTGAAGGCATGTGTGCGCCAGGACGGCCCGGAGGCCCAGCGTGCGAAGGAGAGATGGTCTGAGAATATCATTCAAACTGAAATGACTAGTCACAGGTTGTTGTTTGTATGTTTGTTGTTGTTTTTTTGTTGCATTTTGGATCTGTTGGCACTGATAGATGACTTTGTTCTTGGACTGAACTCCATCGGTGTACAGTTAATTCAGAACAGCCATGGTTGGTGCTGTTTCACACCAACGGAATTAAATATAAAGTACGTTCATCAAAAATATATTAAAACATGTGTCGCCATAGCTGGGCCGTTTAGAGATTCCAGTTTCCTATTTATTTATGTATTTCTTTCCGCATGTGATGTGCACGTCACTCATCGGCCCTTTGAAATGATGCTTTATACTTTATACTAACGGTGTTACCCAACATCCTTAACAATAGCAGTTCTCCGGGTAGATTCCTGACTGTGTAACAGTTTCTCCAAGTGTGACTGCGGTGTTAAAGATGAAATTAAAAAGATAAAAGAAACATTGTGGGGGTCTGATCTTCGCGGTGAACGGGGAGGCTCCTTCCTTCTTCTTTGTCACCTGTTCGCCCGCCTCTCAGTCTGAGAGCGGAGGTGACTGAGGCCTCTGGGAGATGGTGGCAGCAGCTGCTGTTCTCAAAGCATTGCTGCACACTTTGCAAGATCAGATTGTAAAAACTAGAGTTCACTGTCCACAGTACAGGAATACCGCACATTACTGTGCACTTTCTGTCCTGTTGGAAAGAATGCACATCACACAAGTGTGCTTCAAGAGAAGATGATCACTCACAGGGTCTAATAAGTCACATATGGAGGAAAGTGCACTGACACATTACTTTCAAATTTAAACCAATAACAGCTCTTTGTATTCTATCCCCTGAACCCTCGATGTCATGACATGCTCCAAGCCCTGACCCAATAATTGCTCAATTATAAGCTCAGATTTGTGCTCGATACTGTCTGATGCTTGTCCGAGTTAATCTTTCTTCTGGTATTTCCATTTCTATTATTGAATCTCCACAATCAAACTGATTTCAGCGCGGTGGTAAAGATGCTGTCTGTCTGCCTGTCTGTCTGTCTGCACACGACTGCTCACCGGGGCCTCTGGGAGCGCTTGTTGCCAGGCAATGCCACACACCGCTGTCGCCTGCAGCAGCATAGGTACGGCAGCAGAAAAGGCTGATGGTTTTAATTTCACATGTAAGGCTTGTTCCACTTCCTTCAGTCCTTAAAAAGCTTCCAGCTTTTATTTATTTGTTTTTCCGTGTGGAGGATTAGGATAGATAAAGCTCTCAGCTGGGTGCACTTGCACATGGAACTACGAGGCATCGTCAGGTGGTTTTCAGATAGCGTGTCTCTGTATTGAACACTTTTCCTCTCAGGATTGGGTATAAATGATGTAGGATGGGCTATAATCCGGTCGGGGGGGGGGAGACTTTGTAAAGTCTACGACCCAGAATCCTGGCATGAGTTGTTTTTCTGTTGGTCTGCCCCAAATATCAGTTGTGTTGGGATCCCGTTGCCCTCGCTGTTGCTCATGGAACCCCACTATACTAGACCTACAAGGCCTCCTTAATGGTTTCCAGAGCCAACCCCAAAGACCACCAAAACACATGCACAGTTTGCACAGTTCAAAACATCTTAAAGTGCAAAACAAACCCACATTCTTCTCACTCACGTGATCTGGTGTGTAACAACAGCAGCTATTGACGGCACAGGTTTTACCTTGGGGAGCAACAATACAACTGAACAATGCAGCTAAGAAATAGCAAACCACTACATGTTCATGTCCTCAGTTGACAATTTGGATAAAACCATGTCTCTCTCTCTCTCTCTCTCTCTCTCTCTCTCTCTCTCTCTCTCTCTTTGTATTTAAGCTGTGAGAAGAAGCAAAAAAACACGAGAAGAGAACCATTTGATGGAAGATAAGAAAAAGAAAAAGCAAGAAGAGAAGAAAAAGAAAGAAGCTGCTCAGAAAAAGGTGAGCTTTGACACACACTCATCTTATAGTTTGAATTGCCTCTGCCCATCGTTTAGTCGACATGGTAAAATACTGTTAACCCACCGTTCATGCATGGCCAGCATCCCCCAACAATGACAAGCAAAGCTACCCGAGACAGTACTTCCACTTCCCTTTTCCTCCGTTAATCTCAGATGACGCCATCTTTACTATTTTAAATGTTAGCTGGTGAAGTCTTAATTGAGCTCAGGAGTTCTTGCTGAAGTTACATCACAGGCATGTTGTCGTGCGTGTTTTCCACAAGAAGCATTAACCAGACCTTTATGTAGTTGTCGTCTTTGTCTTCACCCCCCCCACCACCTCTACCCCTCCTCCTCCTCACTTTTTCCTTCAGTGGGTCATCTGTTTTCAGTGTTTGCCTGCATGCTTTTCTCAGTAACACGATTCATGTATCCTCGACCCGGCTCGTCGGTGCTGGTGAAAGCATGTTGATGTCTGTTCGTAATGAATGAGGGGAGCACTTGTGCTATCTACTTTACTCCCACAGCCACGAGCCCAGTGAACCCGCTCACCCTGTCGAGCAGCAGGAAGGAACGTGAACCTTTTAGCATTTCAATAGATGAGCAAGAAGAAAGAAAAAAAAACAAAAAAACCCAGTCCCTGAACATTGTGGTCCGATTGCCCCGGCTAGGCGCTCCAGCGCTGTCGTGCAGCTGGAGAGCCAGCCAATGCGACTCAGATGTTGATGGTGCATTAACATATAGCCACAATGCTCACTTATAAAAGGTGCTTATTGCGTCATAAGTTATGAGTTGTCTTTTCTGTGGCTAACGTATTTCTTCCTCTTTTTCTCAGGCCACAGAACAGAGAACCAAAGGTGAGTTGTGGCTTCTTGTGCTGAACTAAAATGCCTCTAATTTAGTTTAATTTCTTTGTTTCTTTAAATGTAAATATGACTTTGCGTTTGTGTTACAACGTGCTGCAGGTGCAATAGCACAAAGTTTCACAATGCAGGCAAAAAAATATACGTCTGCCTTGAACCTTGCAATGAGTCTGTGATATGATGTTTTCAAACAGTAGGGAGACTCATTGTGTGGGTGTGTTAAAGTTCGTATCCTCCTATTTAGATGAATAACTCCTGTGCAGGATCGCTTTTTATTTTTGTGCCTCAGAGCCTCAATTTTCCGTCTGTTCGCTGCTGTGCTATGTGGATGTGAAGCATTACTTTTTATTATAGTAAAACATCTTTTAACTGGAAATATTAGTAGCAGCCAGGTGGAGCCCAGGTGCCCATACGAGACTAATAAGGAGCAGGGGGATGGTGCAGCTGCTCCTCAGGCCTCCTCGTGGGCTCCTCCAGCATACCTAGGAGGGTAGAGGTGAGGAGGAACCCCAGGAGAGAAGAGCGAGAGAACCACGAAACAAACCGTAAAAAAAGAGGCGAATAAAAGTTGACTTCTGAAGTGAAGATTGTGTTTAGCTTGCAGGTTTTGCTCTGTGGCAGCTGCAGACCCACTCTTCACTTTGTTTCCCCAAGCCAGTGCTCCTAATGACCAGAGAGAGGCGGGTAGACGGCGTTGGACAGTCAGTTAGCCCAGCAGCAGATCTCCTGGACGAGGCGGCAGATGGGACTTAATGTCTAGTAAGGGATAGGCCAGGGTGGAATCTGATTAGAGCTTGTGGCAGCATGGCCTTAATGGCAGCAAGCGGAGGGGACACCTAATTACACTGCCTTCGTGTTCAGACTAATGTGTTTGTGTGAGTTGTGGAGGCCAGTTTTTGTTTAGAACAGTAAAAAGGAGTACGTTCTCCTCTTAGTACATACTCCTGTGAACTCTCTACCGTCAGGAGTCAGTGCCCCGACCTCCCACCGTCTCCCTGAAGGATGAGTTAATGAGGCTGCAGTTTCACAGAGGTGCCCCCCTCCTCTCCCACCTTGTATTCCTCTCGTCTGAGTCACTTTCAGCCCCTCAGTATGCTGCACTCATGAATGTGATCTGGGTTTGGCTGCGTTAGCATTCTCTTTGTCTCTTATTTACTTTGTGTTGTTTCACAGCATCCACAAATTGACCCATATACTCTTTTCTCCCCCTCTTCAAACTCGGATGTGATTTGCACAATTATATTCTTGGCTGCTGCTCAAAAGGGCGATGTGCCATGACCTCATTTTTACTTCACCCCCTTCAATGTCAAGTTTGACTTTTTTTTAGCATATTGTACATACTTGTGTACTTGGATATGCTCGTGTCCATCGTGACGCTTTGGTTTGTTTCCCGTAGTCCTGCTCTTGAATCAAGAAATTATTTATTGGATTTTTACGACTAATAGATTAAAAAGAAGGTTATTATTATTGTTTCACCACAAATACATTTGTCAGAGATGCAGAAGGATCTCTGAAAATCTCAAATCAAAGAATATTTATTATATTTAATAAATATTCTTTGATTTGAGATTTTGTCAAAAATTCTTATTTTGGACTAATGAGTGACTAATCAAGAAACAGATTGTATCTGCTACACTGGGAACTAATTAGGAGAGCATTGCTGGCGCGTAGGCTGAATAAACAGGCATCCGTACACAGGAGATCTCCAGCAAGACCCTGAGCACCATAGTAACACTACACCACCTCCTGTCTAGTCTAGCAGAGAGGCCCACTTTGGGACCAGCAGGAGGGGAAAAGGGAGCAGAAGAAGGTGGGCTGGAAGGAAAAGAAATGGGTTTAAATTGTAGTCGTTACATTTGTGCAAAGTGTAGGGAGGCTGCTGCTAAAACACGGTGCCTTCGGTCGACTTGAGAGAACTAGAAGAGGGCAGGCGAGAGCAAAAGGAACAGACGGAGCCATGTGAAACTGTGAGAATGCTCGCTAGTTTCCTGTTTGTCGGCACAGCTGAGGGGGCCCTTTTGTAGGATACTTCTACTGGCTCACCTCTCAAACACACTCTCACTCTACCAGTCCCCTTGTAGGACAAACGCCAGCAGCATATAACACACATGTATGGTTTTACTCATAGTCGTACATCGCTACTCACAAGCACGACGCAGACCGCTCTCTGCCTCACTAACCCTCACTGAGAATGTTATGAATTTCATTAGCAGACGAAGCACGTTCACCTCCAGATACAGAGATGCCTATGAGGGTGCACACTTAACACTTAACCTGGTGTGACGGTGTGAAAGCTGTTGAACTCTGTAGAGGACGAGATAACAAGAGTGAGACCGCCTGAAAAGGAGGATGTCGGTTCGCTTCATAGAGGACTCCGGTGCATTGTGGGTTGAAAGCAAAACGGTCCAACCACGGGATGTTATGATCGTAGAATTGAGATTTTAGCATAAACAAAGGCTGAACTATCATTTAATCCATTTCCTAGAGATCTGTAGACGTTTGTTGGTAACAGGAATGCGTGTCAGCATGTGTGTGAAAAGAGGTGTGTTGAGCTTGTGTCCTACCCTATTTTGACAGTTCTTCATTAGAAATGAGTGAAACATATCGTGACCAGTACTCGGTAACCATCCTCCTGTAATAGTAACGTATGAGAGCCTCTGTTCTTCCTTAGCAGTAGGGATCCACCAGTACCGATATCGGGCAGACACTGACTCAAATAGCTGGATCAGATATCGATGACAGTAGATCTTTTTTACCAAGTTGCTGAAGGATTTATTATTTTGTTGTTAAATATCAATTCAGGAACTTTGTATTTGTTTGTTTCATTTTGTTTTAAAGAAGTCTAGCCCGAATGATCCCGATCACTTCCACACGGTGACATACAGCTTCTTATTTAAACACTGGTGTTGGATCGGTACTCGGTGTCGGCCGATTCCCAAAGCCCAGGTGTTGGTATCGGGGACTCAAAAATGCTGGAACGGTGCATCCCGAAGCAGCAGTAGCAGTCTCAAAAGATAATCAATTATTTATTGGTGCACTCTTTGTGACACCAGAGCAGGTAAATAAACAGATAAGGCCAAGTAAAATGCAGCATGACTTCCTGTCAGTTACCAGAATTGAATCTCCATTTGTGAGTCCATGTAGATGTGAAGAAACAAGATGACAGCCCATAAAACTGTCAGTTCATGTGACCTAAAAGAAAAAAGCCCGTCTACACAAACCGGACCAGAACTAAAATAATGTATTGTAAAATGTATATTCTTCCCCTTTGGCCTGGACCAAATGTACAGAACTACAGGTGCAAAAGCACCCTAAAATCTATGTATTTTAACATAACATGCAGCATCTACTGATGCATTCGTTTAAACTTAGAACATGCATGCAAATAAAGACTAGTAGCATTCATGTAGCTGTTGTTCACCCTTTGTCTCCACTGTGTCACAGTATACGTCACAGTACAGCCAAACATTTGTGTGCGTGTGCGTGTGCGTGTGCGTGTGTGTGTGTGTGTGTGTGTGTGTGTGTGTGTGTGTGTGTGTGTGTATACCAGGCAGTTCCTGTGTGGTGCCACTGACCAGCCCTCATCAAGAAAGTCCCAGATAAATGAGCCTAACTTTGATCATTTTTGGGCCCATCATAGCTATTGTGTACCATAGCAACACCAACAGGCCGTCTGCCACCAACAAGCTGAGCTAGAGTTAATTTCTAAGGGTTAATTGTGTTTCTGTTCATGCGACATCTTTTTAAATAGATAAGGCACAACATACATACACATCAAGACGCACACTTACACAGCGCAATAAAAGATAACATTGTTATATAGTAGTGACGCGGCAGTCATTTCATAACAGATTAATTTGCCGTTTCACATTCACTTAATTACGCCCAGCGCTTTGTGTTGGAGAGTCATAAATTGCGGTGTGATCCGGGGGTAATTTATACCAGCGTGCAGGTTGTCATCGTCGCCGCCTCTTCTGCATGTCGCGTCCCAAGGAGCACTGCTTTAATGGTGCTGATAAACCACATTTTAAAGAGCAACGTGGGTAACAGCTGGATTTTTGCTGTTGTGGAGTGTTGCGCTATAAATTGTTTATGTGAGCCTGTCTTCATTAAATGTCTTTTCAGAGCAGAGCGTTATCTGAAAGGCAACATGGATGATAAAGAGTTGAAGTTAGTCTGGAGCCTCCGAATGATGCCTATCCGCATATTTTTTTTTCTTTTTGCTAAACACGGAGGTTAGTGGGTCAGAAATGTGTGTTTATCTTATTTTAAGTGGTGAATTAAAGGGTGTTATGAGAATTCCTAGGGAGAGAGAGAGAGAGGTAGAGAGAGAGAATCTGTGGTTATGCAAAAACATGTCCAGGGATAAAAAATATTTAATCATTTGGGTGTCTTGTATAACAAGGTGAAGAATGCAGCCCTTTGTCGTTTCTGTATGAAGCCCATGTTTCGGTCTCAATCATTTTTCGGTGAACGGTGTTGGCCCAGCGGGTGCTGCACAGGTCAGGAGGACGGGACGCTCCTCTTTCTTTCACACATCACCTCCTCTAAATCACAACAGACAGTGGAATCTGGTCTGCCTGCAGCATTTGGCACAGAAGGCCGGGGACGGGGGAGTGATGAGTCCAGGGAGGCTGTCTGTCTGTCTGTCTGTCTGTCTGTCTTCCACTTGTCTCCTGAGAGCAGCGGGCATACAGGCAACCGTTCCTCTAATCTGTCATGTGACCCTTCTGCATGTTGAGGACAGTTCAGGTTAGAAACGCTTATTAAAAGATGAGAGTCGCCGGTGAGAGTAATCCGTGATGACTTCCAATGTGTTATACCACTCAGGTGTGCAGTTATGTTCAGATATCTAGTTACCATTTGATAAATGCTCTGACCTATATAGCCTTGTTGCTCTTTGCACTGTGCTGTCAGACATTGAGTGCTTTTAAATAGCAGTTTTGTCTGCGCTGAATGTGATGCAGCGAGGGAAGGATTTCTCTCTTTAACTACAGTGTCATATTTATTCACTTCTAATTAAGCCCTTTAATCTCCTCTCATGTGAGGCTCAGTGCTCACATTTTAAAGCCCACAGGAGGAAAGAGATAGAGAACCCTAAAGACGTGCCTCCCCGGCTCGCTCGTGATTCGTTGATACGCTTTCTGCCGCCTCCTCTTCAATAGACATCTGATAAGGATCTAGTGATTTCCTTGTTTCCTTTTCTGCTTCAATTAGAGTAGTGTAGTGTGACACTTTGGCAGTATATATCATATACATGGATACACATGAATGAACGTGCTATATTCACCTTTTTACTCAAGAAAAGGGATACATTTTTGTGTATATACATGGGTATTTATTTAGTGTAGGAGCTAAATCTGCATTCTCAAGATTCCTCAAGATTTTATTTCTTTGTCGCACTGTTGATACAGAATTTGTCCAAACGTTGGAGCCTGATTGATAGAAGCCCATGAACCTGCCTGTTAAAATAGAAGCACGCATCCTACTGGACGTTGAGCCCCAGCGACACGGTTTAGAATTTAGATTTTATTCGAGGAACAATATGTTCTCTGGGTCATTTTTAAAAGCGTCATTCAGGCCATACCTTGGCTGATTAAAAGCTCAGCTACGGAAAGCTTATAATCACTAACAAACTGAACTTTTTCATGCATATCTGTGTTTACTCGAAGGCGACCCACTTTGATGAATGGAAAGCAGAGTCGGCATGGCGCTATTACTAAACCTCGAGGTAGACGAGCACTGATATTATTGGAATTTGGCACCCAAGCACTTTTGCTCAGGTTTACATTTTAAGCTGCGCCGGTGTAATTGTTAAATGTCTTGCTCTCTGCACAGTATTACATTTTCCCAGCGAGAGGAAAATGCCTCCTGACTTGAAAATGTTGAAATGAGTGCTCATCAGTGATAGTATCAGCTGATATTTAAAGACCCATGTGCAATCAGGAGTGTGTTATTTGATGAAATTCACGCATGAATTCACAACTTGTGAAATTGTTCTTGCAGTTGTTTTACAGCGGGTCCATACAAGGCCTCTGAATATTACAGGTGCTTTAAATGGTACTTACATGGGCCAGTCCACAGTACTTCCTGTGGGTCCTCCTGAACAGTTCCATAGACCTCCACTTATAAAGCTCACACACAGAAGGATCTTTTATCTTTAAGGTCAAGTGGCTTGTTTTTCTTCTTTCCCCCCAAG